GATCATGCGGCATTTGGTCTCAGTGACACCACACAGAATCCAAACATCAGACTCAGGTTTAATCTTTATGTTCAATGAGAAACAGCGGAAGGCTCGGAGTCGAGCGGCTACATGTGGTCAGAGAGAAACCAAACCAAACACAGTCTCAAAGCAGCCGTTATAGAAAACACTTTGATTCAGAGCGTGAGAATTCTTCTACAGTGTAATGGTTTAGAAGGGGGGGGGGGGGGGGGGGGGGTTGGGGAAGAAACGAGTAAAAAAAGAAGCTCTGACCGCAAATCACATTATACCGGAACACTGATTTAATGAAGACCACTCCATCAACGTCGTCAACATCACCGTATGTACATTTGAAATAAATACGTTAAAAACAAATGGCGACAGCGCAGCAGTAAAATGCATTTACTTTAAAAATGAAGTAAAAATGTATTCAAATACATCTTAATAAATATTCTTTATTTAAAGATCTATTTATTTTTATATATATTTTTAATCTCAACTAAAGGCTGAAATCCAATTTCTCTCAATTTTTCTTTCAGTCTTAGGGGAAAGAACTCAAATAGATACAGGTTTTCCTTCAAGCCAGGTAGAAAAGAAAAACCAGATCATTGCACACTGAACGATAAAGGTCATATTGATAAACTGTTTTTAACCAAAGTGCTTCAGTGAAATATCCCACATTTAATTTAAAATAATATAAAAGATAATTTTTCATTATTATATTTATATATTTCATATATATTTTTCAGGTTCCATTCACATGAACAAAGGCTTAATTAGATCACCTCACTGTTACTACTATAAAACACACACTAATTCCACAGGAATGTTTGATAAAACTTGGACCAGGACCAGGACCAGGACAAGGACCAGTTCAGCTCCAGTAAAGAAACCAAAACTTCACTAAGAACAAACAACAGAGCGACTGTAATTTATCTAACAACTGAACTAGAGTTTTAAAAAAAAGTATTTGTACTTGCAGCACTGTATATATTTTTTTTTACTACAGTTACTTTTATAGTGAAACACTAGTAAATAAAACCTTAACTAGTAACTATAATATTCACCAATTCTATCTGAAGTTTGTAAAAACTGATGTTGTTTTCCTTCCTGGGTGCTGCCTTCAGAGTAAATATTATTTTCTTTTTTTACACAAACGTTCAATGACACCTTTGACTAATTTCTAGGGGGCGCCACATCTGCAGAGTGGGTGAGGCACTTTCATTCAATTCTCGACTTGACTGTGTCAGTGTTGGCCTTAAGTACTAAGAAGCTTTTCTTGCACAGGTTGATCATGTTCTTTTCTGCCACTCCCGTGTGCAGTAGTCCAGTTTCTCTCGGCACGCTGTGCTTTATCTGAATCGTCCAAAAAAAATCTCTCCTGGACTTTCTCGCTCGTTTCATGGACAGGGAAAAAATTTATTACCAGCAGTTTGGCAGCTAATCGGTAGCGCTAGCATCATTATTAGCACTGTTGTTGGATTACAGATTTATTAGCGTACAGTGATGATAGTTAAACTTTTGGTCTATTGTGTTTATTATCCGTGGTGCTAGTCTTAATGATGTCTTAGATTGCAATTATCCTAAATAAGTTCAACGGACAACGACTAAGGATGCAGTAGAAAACAACGAGGACACCTAGTGGAGTTAATGTTCGACACAGTCTCAGTGAGGGCAAATTAAAAACGACAATGGATGGTTGATTTAGCTAGCTGGATTTGACACGTTAACTAAGTGTTAGCATAAGTGATATATAAAGAAAAAGTCAAAACAACGTCACTCCTTTGTTCTCAGTGCAGCTTGCTGCTCCTTGACTATAATCGCTCGCATCGAGTGTGTTACGCAGTAGTATTGTCTGCTTTGAACGGGTCGGCTAAAAATCACGTCGCTTCTGCGGCGTGAAGACAAATCAGAATTATTTCCACAGGACATCAGCGTCTGTTATTGGCAGTGATGTAGAGGTAGACAGCTACTGACATCACCAGCTACTGACATCATCAGCACCGTGAGGTTTTTAGAATCCAATAAGTGTTTTTGTTTCAAGTTTTGCGAACTTTTGCTTCACTTTCTGACAAATGATTGTCTGCGAAATATTGTCGCCAGCCAACTGCTTTTCGTTGATTCAAATCAGTAGCAACTTTTCCACTTCCTCTTCTAACATCTGAGATCTTTGCTTGGTGATCACAGTCACTTCTTTGGCAACCTTAGCGTCCTTTATTGCTCCCTTGTTCTTAATGATGCTACAAATCAACGACAAAGCCATAGCGTGAAGCCAGATCTGAAACACGAATGCTACTCTCATGCTTTCGTATAATCCTTCTTTTGTTGTTCTCACAAGCTTTCTTTCCGGCTATCAACTTTCTCTAGCTTCTTTAGGTCCCATAACAATAAATAGCTCCGTGCAAGAAATACCGGCCAAATCAGACGACAGTTCTTAGCGTGTATATCCCAATCGCGGACTGATGCCACACGCTCAGTCACTCAGTGATCACTTGATGCCTGCGTGATATTGTTGGCTTGTTCAGCAACCGAATTATGGAACGACAATTGAGGGAAACAGGAAGAGATCTCCAGCAGATCTAGGATCAGTGTTCAGTCGTCTCCCTTGGCAGGAGAGAATGAGGGAGACAGGAGAGAGGGAGGAACCAGAGAGTGGGAACAGACATACAACAGTTAGCGTTTAGCATTATTCACAGTCATGAACAAAACAGACAGACGGTGATATGACATGCATTAATATCAAAGCTCAACTTTGGGGGGAAAAAACTAGAGTGGAGCGGAGCGGTGCTGAGGATGGAGCTGCACCAGGCGTCTCCATTTGTGATCGCCAGGGTTACAGCGCCTAATTATCCCCACCAATCATGCTAAATTGGGCAGAAAATATACAGCGCCAAACCCAAGTCGTGTGATGAGCAAATCTCTTGTCACTTTGATGCATGGAAATAATAATGCAATAAAGAAATGAGTGCATGTTGTTAACAGCCTCACAGCTGCTGCTCATCTCTAATGAGACCACAGGGACGAACATGTGTCCCATTCACCAACTGTCGCCCTCTGTCTGCTGGAATGTGTCTCACGTCTGTCCAGAGAGGGCGACAGAGAGATGTCCATATCATTAGCTGCATCTAGTTTGAGCTGATGAAGATTCCACATGACAGTTCACTTATTGTCCACGCTGACATGACAGCATCTACGATGCAGTTCCTCACAAATCCTGAAGGTGCCAAAACTGAATGTGAGCTGATTCCACGGTATTGATATATCAATACTCACGCGAGTATCGACTGAGTATCAATTATATGAATACAGCGCTCGTGACAGTTCCACTTTTTTAGGGTAACCTACTACAAACAGATTGACCAGAAGAGGGCAGCAACTCCTTGTGATCAAGTCCACTAGACTTCTTTGTCCCTTAATGCTAGCAATGTAACTAGTTACAATGTAACTAGTTACTTTGTAACTAGTTACATTGTAACTAGTTACATTGTGGGAAAGTAATTTTACTTGTTATAACTAAAGTACACACTAGCCATAACACAGTTGTTAAATGCTCAGTATTTGTCATGTGTTTTATTGGGTTAAAACTGATACAAAGTATCAACATCTCAAATTAAAAATTACAAAAAGTAGTGGGTCTCGTATCAAATCAAAAAGTCTGGTACCACCCGTCACAAAAAAAAAACAATAAAACCCATTGACAAGAAGGAAAAATATGAATATTTTTACTGATTAACTACAGGACTTAAAACACTAACGATGATGAGACCTCTGGGCTACCTGCCCATTTCTTCCAACAGTAATATTCAGTCGTTCGGAAGTTGGAAATTCTATTTCTGCTCATCGTTGTCTGACAGACCAGAGCTGCTCTGCTGGAGCTGACTCAGCTCTTCATCGACCAAGACACTCTAGGTCTGGTCCTCTGAAATCAGCGCTGGAGGTGTTAACCATGTCAACTGCCAACCGATGAACCTTCCGGAAAGACACCTGCGTCCCAGCCTTTTTAGAGAATGTTGTAATTTCTCATTTGTTCACTTTAATATATATATATATATATTTCATGAACAAGATTCTAGAATCCTTTTCCTTATGTTCCCGATCACTGTGTCTCCCACCAAAGGTTTCTCGTTGACGGGTTTCTTCAAAAACAGGAACGTTACCAATCGTCAGGTCTGCAACTGCGTCAAAGGCTCGATAAATGGAAATTCCGTAACATCAGGTCTCTGAGAGACCGTACTCCAATCAGCAGGTTCCACCTTAATAGGAACCCAACAACGAGAAACTTCCTGATCTACATTTTCTGGATCAGTAACAGAAAAAGGCTCCCGAACGGACCTGTTCCTAATTAATTCCTACGTCGGGAGGAAACTTTTCAGAATTATGTTCAGGGGTGACGGCTGGCAGCGGTGGTTTCAAACATCGGTGCCATTTATCATTGTGACAGCGCCATCTGTACCATATCACAGGCAGGTTCCAAAATAAAAGTGTTCCGTATCGGTTCTTTCGTTTAAAAAAAAAATAACCCAAAACATTCTTGGTAAATAAGGCTTAAGGCTGAAGGCTACAAGCGCGGCTAGGTGAGCGTGTGTTTATACTTGGTTAGAGATTTAGGTTCGGGATGACGGATGGAGTGTGTGTGTGTGTGTCGGATACCCGAAAACACGGCCCCTTCCTGTTTCCACGGGTGTGTCCATATGATGTATGTGTGGTTCTGTGTGTGTGTGTGTGTGTACTGGTGTGATAGGCTCAGCAGTAGCAGTGAAGTTTTCTCTCCATCGCCGTCATTTCCTTCAGACCACGGTGCTGACGGACGGATCCGATAGGTTGAGCTGGCCGGTGATGTCGGTCGGGTACGGCTACGGGCGGAGGCGCACAAAGGAGAGAAGAGAGGGGAAAAACGTACAGAACACAGAGACATTAATACATTAAAATATTTTAAAAAAACCTTGTTCCACCCATTCAGCACGTGTTCTCTGGTTCTCAAACCTCGATGGTCCCGGCGAAAAAACCCATTTTAGAGGAACAAATGTTGACTGTTGATTAGGGATGTAACGATGCATTGGGACTCGGTTAGAAATCGATACAAATTAAAAAATCGCACGTAGACATAAGGAGTGGAATCTCCAAAACTCACTGGTCAAACCATGACACTACACCCTCCAGTACAGTAGGTGGCAGTATGTGCCTAAAAACATCAGCCCAAACCTGACCCACTGTTAAACCAAAATGTCAGGTTCCTACGTAGCCCTAAGTGACGTTCAGATGTTGAAACGGAACGTAATCATTAGATTAAAAGTCAAACTGGGGATTAAAAAAAAAAATCGCGATAAAATCACATTGTGTCGTGAGTTCATGTATCGTTACATCCCTACTGTGGATGTGGAGTAAAGTGTCTAAGGACGGTGGATTAGGGTTCCCTATAGAGATAGCTCAGATGCTAATCAGTGCTGGTGGTGTATATTTAATTAAAATATATGTGTAGTTCGCAGAATTCTGCTAATTAATGTGGCGAACTTTTGTGTGTAGTACACGTCTTCTACTTTTGCCAATTTGACCAATCGTGGATTAAGTCGCCGCGAGAAACACCAAGCACGAATCCCAGCTAACGTACGCGGTACACGTGACCGCTGCCGCAAATACCTCGTTGAATATATTTACATTCGGAAGTACTTCTGGTGTTACGCGTTCGGAGGGCGTGGCCATGTACAGTACACAAGGCCCAGGATTGGTCAGTTGAAGTTTTTTTTTTTATCCTACAAGTCGGTCGTGCTTGCAGAGGAGGACAGAGGCAGTGTGTGTGTACAAACAGCATGTAGAGTCTGGACACCATTCATATTCACTGAGAGAGAAGAAGAAACACTCATATAAAAATAAAGGGTGACGATCACAAAGAAGAAGGAGTCATAGTGCACCCTTCAACCATCCCCTGATGTCATCGCATCAATCCATCAATCCAGCCTGTTCTTTTTTTTAAACATTATGATACTGTGTTCTTTTTATACCCTTATTGTGACTCCCGTCAAGTTCAACTCCGGTGACGTCAGAGGAAAAACAGAACATTTCACATGCCTGAGAAATATTGGGAGTCGACAGCAGAAACGATTTCACGGGATGAATTCCTCGATGACACGTCTGATTGTGTCACGAAAGAAGATAGCACCAATACCCCCCGCCTCCTCCCCCCGTGTTACAACAGAAGCCATCCACTCCGCTGTGACCCTGAAAAAGACGTGAGGAAAGCGGCGGCTTCCACAGACGACTCACAAGCATCAGTACGGATGACAGGATGAGGAAATATTAATCAGTAATGATTTGATTCCCACGACAACGGTCTAGTTTCCCAAAGACGAAGCAGGAGCCGGTCAAACGTTTCACCTGTATGAGAAGCTGTAGGAGACAAAATCAGTTAGACCACCTCAAAACAAATATCCTCCGGAGATAGGGGGGCGCTAGAGACAAGGTCAGATGGTTATGGTGTAAATTTAAATCTCAGAAAAATTTGTGCGGCTATTTACTGCCGTTGTTAAGTCAGATGAAGGGACAGAGACAGGAAAGGACAAGGCGGAAAGTACAAGACAGGGAGCGTGGACGACAGCAGACGGGACGAGGACGGACAGACAGACAGACCAGAGGACAGACAGGAGGGATGAGAGGACACAGGTCCACAGGAGTGAAAGAGACCACACAGTCTGACCCTCTTCACTTCTCCTTTGCAAGAGGACGATGTGAACCGTGTGAAAAACAACGCAGCCCTAAACCTCCTGGCGACAAGACAAGTCCTGACCTGACTGGACATCTCGGACTCCAGGACTCTCCTCTGTTTTTTTGTCTTTACTGGGACACAAGAGCTCGATGGAGAAGGAATGAGTCAGCAAGATGATGAAAAAAAAGAAGAGCGAGAGAGGAGGACGAGAGAGATAAAAAAAAGGAGACGAAAGAAGAAGAAAAAAAACATTGACAGAAGAAAATTCATGAAGTTAAAGGAAGAGGAAAGAAAACTGAGGAAAGATGAGTCACACCAGAGGTGGTGGAGGAAGATAAGAGGCAGTCGGTTGGTCTTCATCTTCTTACCGTGGCGTCCCTGGAGGCCCTACGGCGTTTGAGGTCGGAGGTCAAAGTGATGGACCTAAAAGAGGGTTTCAGTTTGGGCTCGGGCTCTGCTCTACCACTTTTTCTATCCTAAAATAAATCATACGATAGGTGCACACACGTTAACACGCAGCAGAGACACGGTCGCACAATCCTACTACTACTACTACTTTATTACTACAGTAATTATCACTTTTAACATCTAACACTACCTTCCAGTGGACTCACCACCCGCAGGAAGGTTTGGAGGGTTGGTATGGTGCAGTGTGATTTGGGTGGCGACTGCTGCCCCCGCGACCCGGTAACGGATAAGCGGATGAAAATGGATGGATGGATGGATGGACATCTAACACTTGTGCTGATGAGCGCTAAAACCCACTATATCTCATGCTTACTTGGCAATTTGCTAACAAACTTGTGGACTTTGAAACTTAAAAACTCACTTATAATACTTGATAGCTAACCCTAGCTAATTGCCGATCAGTGTGCTAACTCATACTGTAGTGGCTAAACTGGCTTGTAATAACAGATTTCTAACTTATCAGCTACTACAACGTACTAGTACTAGCTAATTCATGCTAACAACACATTTGGTCTTTGATTATTCTTGCGGCTCACCTATTATTGCTAACTGTCAATATACTGACTAAAAAATGGCTGCTCAGTGATACTTAGTAATTCTTGTTGGTAAATACAACAGTGAAACACAAAAAACTTTGTTTTAATGCTAATGCTTTGTTTTAACACAAGCTAACTAAAAATTACTGCCCCTTTACTGACCAAAAAACTAAAAACACGTGTAAATATATTCCATTGATTAAAACGTCTTCCCGATAGCACAACATCCCATAATCCTTTCTAGAAATGGTGTGCAATATATATATATATTTGTTCCTGACATGTGATGAAAGCGTTCCTTCGGAGCTGACTTCCTGTTTTAGATGAAGAGATGTTTCAGTAAAACACAGCTTCACTCTGTTTTACTGTCCACAGCCACGGACGGACACGTACACACGCACGTACTGTAGCAGAGGAACCAAGAACACCAGGGCTGGAACATAGAAACACCAAAGTGACCAAACACAGCCAATCCTGGGTGAGAACACAGGGGGGGAGAAGAGGAAGGAGGGAGGGAGGAGTAACAAAGAGGACGGATGGATGAGGCGGCAATGGAGTCGGATCAACCCTGAACACATCAGATCATTATACCAACACTGTGCTGCTATAACGTCAACTGTCGGGTGTGTGTGTGTGTTAAACAGAAAAGACATGGGTGAGGGAGCAGGGGGCGGGGAGGGGGG